ATACTCGTTCCCTCTCTAGAGAGAACCGAGGTTACGTTAGTAACCGAGTACGTTTTCTTACGAGAGGTTCTCTTTTTGTCAACGCCGTGCGCGCCAAGCAACCACCCATGAGTCGCCGAGGTTTCTCGGGGAACCCAATAAGTGGAAAAAATAAGGTGGCCAGCCATGCGGGCCATCACTCGTAGATAAGCACACATAGGGAATACAGAGCAGAGCACTGGTCTGTATAAGCATATAGCACATCCCTACTAGTGCAGCTCAACCAGGAGAGCTGAGTCACGTGAGAGTGGTCTGAGCATGATATATCTGGGCAGAACGCGCAACTCGCTTAGACTGACAGAAGTTTAGCCTGCAGGGCGGGAACTTCTAGGTTATAGAACCTGACAAAGGTAGACGGGGAGCTCCAGCCCGCCGCTACACATGTCGTGGATAGAAATCCCGCTGGCCCACGCCCACGATGAGGCCATGCCTCTAGTGGAATGAGCCCTGATGCCCAGAGGGCATTGCAGACCTTTTGATGCGTAAGCGGCCGCTATAGCGTCCACTATCCATCTGGAGAGAGTCTGTTTCGAGGCAGCGAGACCTTTGGTGCGCCCACCAAACGAAACAAACAGCTGCTCCACTGCAGTAGCCTGTTTGAAGGGGACTGTCAGGGAAATAACCTTTGACGGCGGTCCGCGCGCGTCTTTTCTCTCTCTTGGTTAGGACGGCTTCGCGTGCTCAGACTTCAGCGTGATCTTTTGCCGAGGCCCTCTGGGGGGCGGCGGTCTGTGGCGGCTGTCTGAGCGCGACCTAGCCCTGGCGTCGCTGCGAAGGCTGAGGCTGTGCTGGGCGCTTCGTGCTGGTTCGCACCGGAGGCTGGGTCTGTCTCTCGCGAGAGCAGCCTGTGGCGGAGCTTGAGCGTCGCGGCAGGAAGAGGTTCATGGCCTGCGTGGTCTTCTGTACCTCAGAAAAACGGTCAACGATCCCGTTCACCGCTGGGCCGAAGAGACCAGTAGGGGAGAGCGGCGCGTTCAGGAAGGTGGCGCGCTCAGCCTCCCTCATATCCGCGAGCGTTAACCAGAGGTGCCTCTCTGTCACAGTCAACGCGGCCATGGCTCGTCCGATGGCTTGAGCTGCGGTCTTGGTGGCATGGAGAGAGAGATCCGTCGCGCTTCTCAGATCTGTAACCGCAGCTGGGTCCTGGCCCTTCTCGTCCCATTCACGGACGAGGTCGGCTTGCAGGATTTGTAAAACAGCCATGGAGTGGAGAGCAGACGCGGCCTGGCCGGAGGTGGCATATGAGCGGCTGACCAAGGCGGACGTGGCTGTGCATGCTTTGGACGGGAGGGCTGACCTTGACCGCCATCTCGCGGAGGGCGGACAAAGGTGCGCTGTGACCGTCTCTTCCATAGGAGGAATAGCCGTGTATCCTCTCTCGGCGGCGCCGTCCACTTGGGAGAGCAACGCGGAGGTCTGAAACTGAAGCCTCGAAGAGAAGGGTGTGTTCCACGACTTTGTCAACTCCGTGTGAAGCTCCGGTAGGAACGGAGCGGGCCTGCTTGCTGGGGCTGAACGGCGGCGACTTTGCAGGAAACATCCGTCGAGCCTGTTCGGCGCGGGTTCCTTTGGCAGCGACCACTCGAGCCCGAGTCGGTCAACCGCCCGCGTCAGCAGACGCATCAGCTCCGCATCAGCACCAGCGCGGAGAGGCGGAGTTTAGCAACCATTCCTCGCTATCCGATGCCAGGATGGAGCAGCAGTCTCTCGTGGCGTGTCCTTCGGCCTCATCCTCAGACGCGACGGCAGTGAGGCTCGTGAGTGGCAGCTGCGCGTCGGTGAAGGGAGGCGGGGAAGGCGAGAGCGAGGCTCAAGGGAGGTTCTCCGGCGAGCGCGTCGCTGTGGCCACGGGTTCCGGCTGTCTCTGGGAACGGCGCTTCTTTTTGCGCGGTCCCACAAAGGGCGGAGTGACTGCTTCCGGGTTGAAGGCTTCGAGTCGAGCCCGCAGGGTCGACAGCGGAAGCGCTTCACAGAACTCGCAGCCCCCGGATGCGAGGGCGAGCTCCGCGTGTTCCTGGCCCAGGCAGAGAGCGCAGATCACGTGGCGGTCTCCGACGCTGAGCGGGGCCCTGCACGAGCCACAGGAAGAGCGAGGCATCTTGAAAAAGACGCTCGCTGCTCTTTTAGGAGTAATGTGCTAAAAGAGAGTACAAACAGAGTAAAAAGGATACGTCGCCGGATAGCGTAGCTCGCACGGATGGCTGAAGGTGGCGAAGACGGCCGGCTTCCTCAGCGCTGTCCTAAGCTGGCTGTTCGCTGTTCGACGGCGGTGGCGGCTTCTCTCAGATCCAGCGATGTGAAGGGCTTCGCTGAAGAGACGGAAATCAGGGAATTCAGCCTACAGCCCCTTCTTTTATACGCTAAGCCACGCCCATTCTGGCGGGCTATGACGCTATGAAGGCGCGGGCGCCCTTCATTGGGCGTGACGTCACGCGGGGCTCACTGGTAGGCTGCAGCAGATGCCCGCAGGGCAGCCAATGAGCACGCAAGACTGCCTGCTCTAGGTCTGCTAGCTGCTGCACTGCGTTGACAATGAATACAAAATTAAGGATAAATTTTTGGCTTCAATATTTCGAGAAAAGAGGGAATCTTTCCCGTAGCGTAAGCTAAACTTACGCAATACGAGAGAACCTCTCGTAAGAGAACATAAGGAGATTAAACATAAGGAGAAAATATAAGATTTAAAACAAAAACACTGGATGGATTTTTATATGATGGTTGTGTACAGGCACTGCCAACACACATTTCACTACAATCAACTTGAAAAAGTGCATGTACCATTATATGATTTAAGCATGTAACTTTATATGAGATTCATTCTTGTGCCATCTAGTGGTTTCAAAGAGAAATACGTCAAATGTGCCTTTTACCCCGGTGCACATTTAGCCCCGCTGTACCCTGGTTTATTCTGCTGTTGGATACAGTCTTGTGTTAGCCTAGAAATCTAGACGCACCCTAGCGGCAGCAAAAATCATTTCGCTGCCAGTGTGGTCTAGCAACTCTCCATAGACGTTTTAGCTGGAAAAACCAAAAACTGGTCAGGCCAATCCATCGTGTATAGAGTTGGTGGGCGGGCTTAACACAATGACGGCAGAGTTGCGACGGTCAGAGCAAGCTCGGACATATTCGGTTTGAAGTCATTCATCCTCGGATGCGGCGCCGCGCGCGCTGTTACAAAAAAGCTGTGGCGAAACGATCAACTTGTCATTTTTGCCGCACTCGTCGAGTATAAAGGCTTTATTTACTCCGTGTCAGCGCGCGCTCTGATCGGTAAAGGACCTCCGAATCATCTCCAGCACTCCGAAGCACCACTACTCCGCCTCCGTTTCCCTCGTAAGCTGATATTAGTATTTAAACATTCTCTATGATATTATTATTTTAATGACAAAAAATGTTTTAATGACTCTTTCTCTCTCACACACACACACACACACACACACACACACACACACACACACATACTGTCTCTTTCTCTCTCACACATAGGCTAGTTATAAACTCTTTAGACTTTTAATGATTAGTGTTTTATTTTTAAAGTTTGTGGGTCGTGTAAAAAACAAAAAAAATCCCTTATTTTGGGGATGGATTCCTGGAAATCTCCCTTATTTTCAATGTTCAATGTTGACAGCTATGGACTGGATACGGTAAAAGTTTAATATATCAACTTGCTCCGCTGACTACGTCCCCTTCTTCGTTGCTCTGATTGGTTGTAGCGCTATCCAATTGCGTGCTGAGAGAATTTGAAAGACAACCGTTTATCCCGCCCATCAGATTGAGCCCTGTCAATGATGAGTTCCCAGACCTAACATCTTGATGTAGGTCTGGCATGCCAGGCTAGTCTTGTGTAGCTCGCCTGCCTGACAAGATTACAGCTGTTTTTATCATTTGTTTTCCTCTGGGGTCTGATGACCTGCCAACATTTATACTGTGAGATGCTTTAAGTGCAGTCTTCTGATTGGATAATTAATGTTACATAGCCTATACACCATCATTTGAAAATACTTACGCCTGGTACACTACTATTTTGTCCATGATTTTGCCATTTTATTGCCCCTTTATCCCCTTCTGATGGACATACCATTTCCATGACTCCAACTGACATGTTATTCATAAATATCTTTGTAGTATTTTATTAGATTGTACACCATCAATATACAGTGGCCATGCACTTCCATACCGCAGCATGGCGCTGTTGAGCTTCTGCTCTCAACCATCAGAGCTGCTGTAAAACTGTCATCCTGACAACTTCACTTTCAACTCCATAATGGATGTTTCCTGCAGTATTCATGGATTTTTATATACTAGAGTTGATGAAAGTATATAAAGACTCTGGAAACACTAGTTGTTGAAGATAGGCTACAAACTGTATATCAAGCATTTGTTACATATGGATCTAAATATCCTACTGCAGGGTAATATAGGGAGAACAGGTTTTGCTTTCAGTATCCCATCCTTAAACATTTCTGTTAATAGGAGAACATGAGATCATTTGTCAGTATACACAGAGATGATGGCAATCACAACAGCATTAGCTACATAGAAGAGACACAAATCAAAAAGGTTATTTTTGTGTTGTTGTACGGATTCATGTTTGGCATTAAAGTCACTTCAGTCATTCACATCTCACAGTAGGAAGGATATAGTTAATGAGATATATTTAAGAATATGAACATCATGATACTATAGCCTAATATTTATGTGAATACCAGCTCATAGGGTTAAAGGGCAATGAAGTGTCTATCTATCTATCTATCTATCTATCTATCTATCTATCTATCTATCTATCTATCTATCTATCTATCTATCTATCTATCTATCTATCTATCTATCTATCTATCTATCTATCTATCTATCTATCTATCTATCTATCTATCTATCTATCTATCTATCATCTCTGGTCCACACTCCAATACAGTAGATGGCGATAATGCACCTTCACGTTGGTGTCACCCGCTATAAGACCAAAGAAGAAGAACTTCACTTTCAGCTAAACTAATATCAAATTTATTTACACACCAAAATCAAAAAAACATATGCCGGGAGCCGTGAGAAGGAGGTTTGCTGAAGATTAAATTAGTCCGTTAGTGTGGTGAACGGTATTTATCAGTAGCGGTAGCTGGCTATAGTAGCTCAGCCTAGCTTTGTTTACAGTGCTAGTGCTAGCTCTGTTCAAGCAGCTTTGCCTGTGACAGTGGCTTTATATCAGCATAGAAAAGCTTTGAAACTGTAGAGTTCATCTTAGCGGCCTGGCATCATTATATGTGACCTCAAATTTACTGTCATTTGGCTGAAAGAGTTGTGTTTGTCCCTGTGCTACAACATCAGTATGGGTATGTGTTTACCCTGTCTGGGTGGAGCTGGAGATGATGTAGTAGTCACACCAGACCCTGTGAGTACTTTTAATAATATATTTATGCGTTCATTTACATTACATATTTAACTGTGTTCATCTTTCAAGTGTTATCATTTCATAAACAGCCTAAACGGAACGCCACCTTTATAATGGTACTAAGTGACATTATGAATGAGAATATAGCCTAATGACCTGCACATTTTGTGGTCGTGAGGATAAAACTTTATTTTTTTAAATTACTATTATTTATATATATATATATATTTTGTGAAATACTCTCATGTAGTTAAACCCCGTGTTATACTTTCACTTATATACTTTCTGCAAGTATGCAATATGTCCTCATTTATTTATTTATTTATTTATTTTTATCCATAAAATAACGTTTTGGGGGATTACATACTCTCAATTTCTTTTCTTTTTTTTTAATTTAGGCAGACTAACTTTTCAAATATCTTTGTTTAACTAGGCCTAGTAATACAAAAATGTGTCAGGTTCCTGAATGAATACTATTGATAATGTTTAGTCTGTTTTTCCCTGCTTGTCAATGTTGTCCATTTGATTTATTTACTTTTAATGAATATGTTTTTAATTCAAAATGAAATAAACATTAGTTTTTTAAATAAATGTATAAATAGGCATAATTTATATTTGTAAAGATTTGGGTCTCAGTTTTGTTATTTGTGGAGCTTGACAGACGTTTTGGCAATTTTGAAAACATTTGTTTTTCACAGGAGACAAGGAGAAGACAGCTAGCAGAAGCTGCAGAGAAGAGACAGAAAGAGGTATGATTTTGAAACTTTTTTTAAGTTAAACATTATATGATTATATAGGGGAACGTGTATATTTGTTACCATTTTTATCAGGTTAGTGTAACTTAAATAGTCCTTTATCCTGACCAATAAATGTACAAGTACAAATATTCCATAAAAACTGCATTCATGAGAAACGACAGTTCACAAACAACCACTCGACAATAAACACTTTAAATTTCACTTTATAAAAGAGCTTTTGTTAGATTCATGCATTAATCAAATTGAGCTGAAAATGACCTAAAAATGGGGTTGAAATACCTTGTGTCCGAAATACTATTGGTGAATTGTGCTTCAGTGGAGTTCTACTATTATTTGTGAATCAGAACAAACTCAGGATTTGACCACTTATAATGGACTCCTGTCATCATCACCAGCTCTGACCCCAGTTGTTGTCAGTAGATTGTTCGTCACTGAGGCATTACACATTTACAGCCACAATCACAATATAAGATCAAATTCATAATATTAATAATCTAACAGGTCTCAGCAGCACCACATATATGTATATTCATTACTATAGCAGGGCTCGACATTAAGCCTTTTCATGTGCTTTCCTTCACACAAGTAAATTTGTCATTTACTTGTCAGAGTAAAAAAGTATTCTTTTTTTTGTAAATATAATTTGTTGTAAAGTGATACCTGTATATGGAATATTCCACATGTATCACTTTACAACAAATCGGTTTTGTTATATTTATCCTCTCATTATACAATCCTTCTCTGCATCTTTCTGCTTTTATTCATTCTTCTTTAACCTTTCAAGGAAACAAATATCTAAGAAAGAGAAATAGGGATCCCATTTGAGATCCTTTTTAAACATCCAGTGTTTTATGGTGTAGTGATTTTAGTTTCGCCACATGTAATTGGAGGGCCATTTCACTGTCTCTCAGAGATTTAAGGGAAAGCATAGAACTGCTAAAGCGTCACGGTAAGTACTCGTCCTCCTCCTCCTCCTGTCCTCCTTCCACACTTCTGGATGCATCCTACAGCTGAAACACATGACATTGATTCTTACTGCTGCTGGAATCTCATAATGCTTGTGGCCGTACAGTTCTTTTTTTCTGCTAGCATAATGCTAGTGGTTCGTCATTATCATTAACAAAGTCCCATTACCTCTGATACTGTAGAATTTATTAGTATTATAAAGTTTGACTCGTGAAAAGGTTCATTTTGAGTTGATGTGAGTCAAGTGAGTGAGTTGTTAACAAAAGAACCACTTTGATTCAAATTGAAGAACTACTGCAAGACTACAACTATGATACCACCACAAATTATATATATATATATATATATATATACACACTCACCTAAAGGATTATTAGGAACACCATACTAATACTGTGTTTGACCCCCTTTCGCCTTCAGAACTGCCTTAATTCTACGTGGCATTGATTCAACAAGGCGCTGAAAGCATTCTTTAGAAATATTGGCCCATATTGATAGGATAGCATCTTGCAGTTGATGGAGATTTGTGGGATGCACATCCAGGGCAAGAAGCTCCCGTTCCACCACATCCCAAAGATGCTCTATTGGGTTGAGATCTGGTGACTGTGAGGGCCATTTTAGTACAGTGAACTCATTGTCATGTTCAAGACACCAATTTGAAATTATTCGAGCTTTGTGACATGGTGCATTATCCTGCTGGAAGTAGCCATCAGAGGATGGGTACATGGTGGCCATAAAGGGATGGACATGGTCAGAAACAATGCTCAGGTAGGCCGTGGCATTTAAACGATGCCCAATTGGCACTAAGGGGCCTAAAGTGTGCCAAGAAAACATCCCCCACACCATTACACCACCACCACCAGCCTGCACAGTGATAACAAGGCATGATGGATCCATGTTCTCATTCTGTTTACGCCAAATTCTGACTCTACCATCTGAATGTCTCAACAGAAATCGAGACTCATCAGACCCGGCAAAATTTTTCCAGTCTTCAACTGTCCAATTTTGGTGAGCTCTTGCAAATTGTAGCCTCTTTTTCCTATTTGTAGTGGAGATGAGTGGTATCCTATCAATATGGGCCAACATTTCTAAAGAATGCTTTCAGCACCTTGTTGATTCAATGCCACGTAGAATTAAGGCAGTTCTGAAGGCGAAAGGGGGTCAAACACAGTATTAGTATGGTGTTCCTAATAATCCTTTAGGTGAGTGTGTATATATATATATATATATATATATATATATATATATATATATTTTTTTTTTTTTTTTTTTTTTTTGAGTAAAAAAATATATTCTTATGAGTGGAAAACAACGATTTATTATTTAAATTGTAAAAGTTTTTTATATATATACACACAAACAAATATATTGTTTTGCATTTGTATAAATATATTTGTTTAGCTTTATAGAGCTTTTTACTGCAGATGCCTTTGAAAACACGGTATACGTCTATCCTTCACAGCCTCACTTTCATACCTGTCATGGCGCAACTCTCTAGGTCAAGTCACCTTTATTTCTATAGCTCTTTATACAATACAGATTGTTTCAAAAGCAGCTTTACAGTGATCAACAGGAAAATAATGATTCAATGATACAAACCGAGTTTGTTTTGGCTGTACAGCAGATCTAGATTAAAACTGTCATTGCATAAGGTCAGTGATGTCATTGGCTAGTTATATGTCATTGTCTGGTGTTATTGTAGATGGGTGAGTTTTAGTTTTTGCACACTCTGTACTCACGTTTCCAGCTTATCTAAGGTGCACCAGGATTCAGCACGCGAGCACTGAATAATATCACACACTTCAACTACTAGTTCATGCTTTGATTCATTTGTGAAATTTGCTATTGTTCTTACTGAATTACTGGGTAACAAGTATGGTGTGGTAGCTGTATTTTGTCTGATGTTTGTGTAGATTACCTACAGAGGTATCAAAAACCCGGAAGCCTTGGAGAGGAAAAAGAAGAAACAGGAAGAAACAGAGAAACAGACCATGAACTCTGTTCCTGCTGGAGGCGGGGGGCTAAGGGTAATTTATTCAGTTCTTTTTTTATTTATTTTTTTAACCAAAAGTCTGTATCACTTCTGTAGACTTTAATTTAAAATACGATTATTATTATATTTTGATATTTTGACACATTAATTAATATTTATTTTTATAAAATGCTCTACTGTTGGCATCAGTTTTTTTAATCTAATTAAAATGAATACATTTATTCAGCAATAATGCATTAAAGGGGTCATATAATGGTACATGCACTTTTACAAGTTGATTGTTCTGAAATGTGTGTTGGCAGTGCCTGTACACAACCATCATATAATGATAAAAATCCATCCAGTGTTTTTGTTTTAATCTCCTTATATGTTTTCCCCCGCCTCAAATCGAGCCGTTCGACCGTGTGACGTCACAGGCTCGCACGCCCCTCCCACGATTGTTGATTGACAGCAGCGTTTCAACACAGACCCGCCCTCGCTCGTGTCATAGTCCATATGACACGAGTCATAGTCAATCATAGTCCTCGCGGTCCGGCGCGGTCATTGTTGATATGCTGGAGCACTGTCTATGAGCAGAATGGCGTCTAAGCGATTGTGGTGTTCTGTTCTTGGGTGTAATAACGAACACAGTCATTTTAATGTTCCTAAATCCGAACCGCTGAAGACGCAGTGGCTGAGTTTGTTTTCGATGGGAATATTCCCCACGAGCAACGTCAATGCTCTCATGTTTGCGCGAATCATTTCTCACCAGACTGCTTTATAAACGAGGGTCAGTATAAAGTAGGGCTGTCAAAATTGCTCAAAAATGACGTTCGAATATTCCCTCTAAAAAAAACCATATATTCGAACTATTCGAATATCTGGTTGCGCATTTTGTCAATGACGCGCATTACGTTAATAACAGGACAAATTAATACAAAGAGACACAACTACTTGTATAGGTAGTTTATTTAAGTTTAAACATATTTGACAACGTATTAACTTACACAAAACCAAGTAAATCAACTAATGGCCAAGACCGCAGACCTTACTCTCGCTCGCACTCGCAGGCACTCTCTCTCTCTCTCGCCCTCACGCTCTCTGCGCATAACGGTTTAAATGAACAACAATAAACAAATGTTGAGTGCTGATCAAGAGTTTTGTGCAAGCAATTTAAGGTCGCGACTCTTGTCCTAAATATAGCAGGCTTCATTCGGTGATTGAAACAAATATTATTAACATTAATTTAAATTTTACAGTATATAGAACCGACATTGAACGCTCCGAGCGAGCTGTGCTGTGGTAAACTGCTGCTGCTAGCCTGCTACTATGGCTATTTCGAGGGCGTCTGGCCACGCCCCCATTGGCGGGCTCTGACGTGTCTGATGTAATGCTAGCTCATTGGCGCACACGTTGGAGGCGCCCGTGCCATTGGATGTGCAGTTGACGCAGCACAGCCAATGAGTGAGCCAGACACTCACTGTGCTATCTGTCTGTGCAGCTGGAAAATGCGTTTTACATTTTAAGCTTCAGAATTTTGCCACTCGCAAAGCAGACAGCCACGCCTTTGCTACCGCGGGCGTGTTTTTCCACATGATTCGAATATTTAATTTTCACCTTCGAATTTCTGTTTTTTAAAACTATTCGAATATATATTCGAATTTAGAATATTCGTTGACAGCCCTAGTATAAAGCTGGTTTTGCTAAGAAGCTGCTCCTGAATAAAGTTTCGGTACCAGCTATTCGTGTTCCTGCTGAACCTCCAGAACAACTGAAGTGAGTGTAACGTTTTTATTAATCTTTATATTAATATTTATATTAATCTTTGCAAATCGCTTGCACGCTTCACGATGAATGCGGCTAAGGTTTACAGTACATTACTGCATGTTTTCTATGTACGACGTTCTCAATATAATTCATAATCCCACATTTATACTGAACAAGGCGTTATGGTTATTGTGTTACAAACGTGTACGCACAGAACAGAGAGGCGGGGTGAGCGAAGCTCATTATCATTTAAAGTCATATGCACTGAAACGACGTGCTGAAAACAGAGCTGTTTTTGACCAGGTAAAATAAGTGTTTTCTTACAATACTAATGAGAATTTTTAATTAAAGTATATTACAAACTTTTAATTTATACCCTAAAGAATCATATTAGCTTGTACAAAAATGGCATTATATGACACCTTTAAATTGATCAAAAGTGACATTGAAGACATTTATAATGTTACAAAATATTTCTACATTAAATGCTGTTAATTTGAACTTTCTCTTACAGTTTCCTCTAAAATATTAAGCAGCACAACAGTTTTCAACATTAATAATAATAAGAAATGTCAAATCAGCATATTCGACTGATGCGACACTGAAGACTAAATAACTTTCAGGATCCAGGATTTAATTAAAAACATTGTATTTCTTTAATTCTAGAAAATAAATTATCCAAAGTATTATAGCCAACCTGAAATAAAGACATAAAAATACATCTCTAAAATAAATAGAAAATATTTGATATAATGTTTGGGTTTGCCTTCTGAGTCGGACAACCTTTTCTGAAGGTTAAGGACCTTCTTTTACTGATATTTGATGATTAATTCTCCACTGAATGAGAGAAATAAGATTGTGTTAGTGTTCTGTTCTCCTCTTCTCTCCAGTGGCAGGTTGGCTAACACAGGCTGAAGGGAAGATCACTGGTGTGTCTACATCGGGGATCAACCTTGAACCTTCATCTGCAGTATTTCCCGCTGACTTGAGATTCTTAAAACTCTTTTTGCTTTCTTTCTTCATTTTGAAGTGTACACTAGCCAGGGGAGTTTGCATAGAGACTGCCAAGCTCTTGCACAAAGCTAATCCTCCAGCTCTTCTGATTCGCCAGAGTGCATTCAGGCCACGCCCCTTTAATGCCAAGTTGGGCTAGCTTGTGGTTTCCTGGGGTACCGATTTTAGCAATTAATGAATTTTTTCCACAACCTATTGCATTTATGTTCATGCATCATTTTCACACGCAGCTTTTGTACCAATGTGCTCTCTATTTTTGACATTTTTGACATTTTAATACACATTTATACAACTGAAAAGCATGTTTTATATTGGATTTTGGGTCATTTAATCCATATTTAGCCGTTTATATTTAAGCATCAGTTACCAGTGTGTTTTGGTTTTTAAGCTCATAGGATTTTTCAATGAGCAAGTGGGAAATGTTGTGATATTTAAGAGTGAAGTTAAACGTGAATGAAGGATTTTCTGTCAGTTAGCACTTTCACTGCCTGTTGATTGTATGTTCACTGTGTTGATTGTAAGCACTTGCTGTTCTTATGAACCAAGTAGAATGTGCATCACTTTATCTTATTAGACCTCAGTTTCTTACCCTTTCTGAAGGGCTTTGGTTGTCTAAAGTTAAGAAAATCTTAACTTGCATTTAAACTCAACATCCATATTTGTGGGCCATGCAACAGTAACATGATATGATATGACTTGTCAATTATGTAGCAGCCTGAGCTATTGTGATTAGTGTGAAATATATTGTATCTATAGGAACTCTGAGTGAATTCTTCATATTGCCTTTGATGCATTTCTTTTTAAGAAACAGTTTTAATTTGTCTGTGCTTGTGACAGGGAAATCGATTTGCACCAAATAATCAACAGAAATATCTTCCCAGGTGTCTTTCAGAATGGGATATTAAAGGATTTCTTCTTTTTTTTTTTTTACAATCATTGGACTCAATAGTTAGGTCACTTTTCCAAAACTCTTCTCACAGTGAGCACAGCATCAGTCTATCATTTATCATCGCTTTGGTACGAAATGCAATCAATGACGACAATCACTTTCTCAAACAATACTCTATGTACCTACAGGCCAATTTGCACATGCTTACTCTCTTTTCAACACTGTTTTAAGTTCAAAGCCTAACACAATATGAAACTAAATAAGACAGCATGTCTACAGTCATATAATATTGAATATATTCCAAATCTAAAAAATGGAAAAAAACGATTTGATGTAGCTGAACACACAGGTTTTAGTCTTCAATTTCAGCTCCATCTAATAAAGGGGAAAACTTGTGTAATTCTTGTTTTGTAAAGATTTTTTTTTTTGCAAAAGAAAACATTGTATAATGCTACATGTTGTTAGTGTTTTTGGTCATTGCTTTATGAGTGACAGTGTGTTTGTTGGGTGGACATTTTGAGGTGAGTTGATTTGAGACGTATGAAGTGTTTTGGTAGTTTTAGTGCATTTTTTATGTAAAATTTACTGCTGAGCTGAAAGTTGGTAAAGAGAACTGTGTGAAGAGTTTTGAAAAATATATGGGTCCTACCAATTGTAAAAAAAAAAAAAAGTAACATTGTATGATAATACAATAAATCAGACAAAGTACTGCAATGTTTATGTTTACCAATTGAGGGCAGTGACACACTTTCAGACCAGGAACTGTTTTAGAAGCACAACTGCAAAGAGTCATTGCTTAAATAAAGATTGTGTTTGATTAAAAAAAAACCTCTTTATTATTATTTGCAACTATTTGCTTGCTGCTAAACGGAAAAATCTCTCGTCTTGTAACGACGCACTCAGACCTCTTACACTGCTACTATACTGCAAATAACACTCAGTGCTCTGTTCACTTTATTGGTTAAACCTTGATTCAACAAAGAGCTGGGAATAAGTCCTTGGAGATTCTGGTTCCTCATGCCAAACGTGCTCTATTATTACACTGGATTACACTGAACGCATGTTTGAGTTTCCTCCTCTTTGCCGACTTCAATGGTTTATTGTAATGTGTCTTCAGGTATGTTCTTCTGCCTTGCACTGTTGTGAAGTGTCCAGTCTGGCTATTCTTTGACTCTTTAACTGGATGGTCTCAGGAGATCAGCAGTTTCTAAATCCACCATTGCAAGGTCACAGTCATCTCCATCACATTTCTTCCTACTCTGATGTTTGGCAAGAACAACAGCTGAACCTCTTGATCATGTCTTCATGCTTTATGGGTCTGTTCAGCCACATGGTTGGCTGATTAGATTCCATTCTCCAAAACAGCAAGGCCATCACATTTAAACACAATAAATGCCAGAAAATATATATCATGACATCAAAAGAAAATACTAGTACCCCCATACAAATTATTAATATCGTTAGCAAATGAAGCACTAAAAGGAATAGCCAGTGTAGAAGTGAATATTTGAATTCATCCAGCGATTTCATTTGTCAGGATTAAGAAAATGGTATACAAATAAAACAACCTTGATTCTGTATTCCAGTTCGCTCAGTATCTTAGTTATACATTGTCAAACTAGCTGATCTACACTGTCATTGTTGTGTGTTAAAATTAGTTTTCTCCTTTAAACACTAGTTAGTTTTAGAAGCCAATGGAAGTTGGCATGTCCTTGTGGCATCTACAACGGCTAGCCAGTGAGCTGTGCTTCAAAGTTACATTAAAAGTCTTTGTTTCATTAGTACATTTCTTCTTTACTTCTTGCTTTTGTAGTGGGCCGCCACTACCAGGTAGCTGTCAGGCGCAAGGTCTTTGATGTTTGGAGATTTTCCAGAGATGGGCGAGATCTTGCCTTCCACACGCGAGATCTGGAGCATGCGGCATGGGTCGTGCTTTAGCAGGTAGCTCTCAAACGTCTCCCAGCCTCCACCAACACGCACCATCACATGTTTATTATGCAGCATCTGAGGAGACAGAGAAAAAGAGTTTAGAGATACACATCTCTAGGTTGGTTAGTTGGTTGAGTTTGACATCCCAACATATGCTGCACTCTATGCAAGTATTTGAAAGTAGACACTTAGCCACTTAACCTGAGATGCAAATTAGCTCTTGCTATACTCTATGTACAATACATATTTTCCAGCTTTGACTGGGATCATGTTTTTTTGTACTGTCCCTATATAAAAACCTTTTTAAGTGTCATATGTTGGTACTGATTGGATTAGCACGTTTGTGCAAGATGACTCGCATTCATCAGGAGAAATGAATGTAGACGCAACTCGTCTAAGTGTAAATACGTCTTGTTGTTCAGGTTACATGTTACTTCTCCCAAATGGAATCACTTTGGAAGTTTGGGAGCAAACAATTAACAATCATGGATAATACACATGGATTGAGCTACCACAAAACTCAGCTGAATTCTGTCAGAACACAATTCATGACGCAACACAAGTACACAACTTGAAAAGCCCCTATAGAGGACTCCTGCATTCAGTCTTCTCTTTTAGATTAACTACTATCTGGTAGAGCAAGAGTCTGAAGACAATCAGACCACCGGTTATAGCTAGCTACGTGTATAAGAAAACATGTTTTACTTCCAATAAACTCTATGACTCCCTTGAGAACTGAGGGTCGTAACTGCCACAGGAACGCAAGACTTTATGTTGATTGGGACTCCATGCTTACATTACATTGGCTATGCATTTGAATCTTGGTTAAAGGGATAGTTCACTTTGAAATAAATTTTTGCTTACCTCAAGGGCATCCAAGATGTAGGTGTCTTTGTTTCCGCAGTAGTTTCAATTTTGATATTTTTAGGTCAAACCGTTCTTGTCAGTCATATAATGCAGGTCTATGGTCACCACCTCAAAGAGCATGCACAGAGAAGTCCAAATTAAACATGATTTAATGACTCGTAAATGTAAGTACACATTGATGGCCTAAGACACGAAACGAGCGGTTTGTGTGAGAAAACGAACAGTATTTATATTGTTTTTACCTCTTGTAAACACAGCCACGTCCAAGTGATCTGAGGGCGCCGGCGCTTCGGTCTGCGCAAGCGCCGGAAAGCACCGGAAGTGATCTCTCTGAAAAAATTCAACGTTGTCTGTTGATATATCGAAATCGTCTTCCATTGCAATTTCCTTTATATCTAAATTTGTTTAGATCTTCACAGTGAAAGGTAACACTTCCGAAATCTCTGTGTAAACAATGAGTGACGTACACGCGCGAGAGATCACTTCCGGTGCTTGCGCAGACCGAAGCGCCGGCGCCCTCAGATCACTTGGACGTGGCTGTGGTTACAAGAGGTAAAAACGATATAAATACTGTTCGTTTTCTCACACAAACCGCTCGTTTCGTGTCTTAGGCCATCAATGTGTACTTACATTTACGAGTCATTAAATCATGTTTAATTTGGACTTCTCTGTGCATGCGCTTTGAGGTGGTGACCATAGACCTGCATTATATGACTGACAGACAAGAACGGTTTGACCTAAAAATATCAAAATTGAAACTACTGCGGAAACAAAGACACTACATCTTGGATGCCCTTGAGGTAAGCTAAAACATACCAACAATTAATTTCAAAGTGAACTATCCCTTTAATGCGCAATTTTATGTCACAAATAGTTTGACATGATCCGTTAGCCTCTGACACTATGGGCTGCAGTCTTTAGCTTTCTTGTTAGCATGCCCAACTCCCATGCCATTTATTGAGCTGATTGAACTGATTACAGTGGTGCCATGAGCCGGATGGAGATGAGTGTGATGAAGGCCAGCTGGTACGAGATAGCTGTGCAGGTAAACCTCACTCTCCTGGTGTCAAGAGGCATGCTAGCAACTGACACTAGAGACTCCAGCCTTTAGCGTCCTTGTTAGAACGCCCAACTCCCATCATCAGTTCGTGCCCTACTCAAGTGGGCCTTACTGAACGATTACACTGGTGCTGTGACACATTAGCGACTTATGCTAGGGGCTCCACTCTTCAGCGTCCACGTTAGGGCATCCAACTCCCATGCTAATTATTGATGGTTTAAGCTCTGCTTTAATTGGTGCCGTGACCCAGATGGACCCAATACTCTGGCCAAGCATTCTCAAAAGTTTTGGGCCTAATCATTCATGAAAGCTCATTTGAAGAATAAAGTATCTGACATTAAACTCCTTTAACACCTCCAGTGGCGTAATCACACCCTTTTATTGGCTATCTGTCACCTGCGGTTCCCACTGTGAAACTCCCTCTAGGCAAAGAGACGTGTGAGACTCTGAGATTATGGTGAAGGAGCAGAGAGGCTGCAGTAAATAATTTTTTTCAGCTGCCTACATTCTCCAGAGGTCTAAATGTAGGAGTCCACTGCCTTGTCACAACATCGGTTATTACCTCAGATTATCCGATCAAGACAGTTCCTAAACAGTAAGAATTATTATTAGGGTCAATGACATGACGTGCATATTTTTGTGTCCAAGTGCATTATTTACTTCTAAAATAATTAGATAAATGCATGACATATACTGTATCACTGTATTCTGTAAATCCTATTTAGTTTGAATTCATTTTACATTTAAATAATACATATTATTTTATGTTTTATCTTAAACCCCCAAAATGTCAGATGGTGCAACTGCCTGATCAAATGAACAGACTAAGAAAACGATTTAAAATGGCATCTTCTTAATAATAAAAAAATACTACATTTGTTATATAAAACATTTGCAAAATTGTGGAAAAAAAAAAACTTTATTAACATTATAAGTGGTTAATAAGGAACATTAAAATAATTAAAAAATCCATTTTAATTCTTAAAATGAGCCTGAAATTTCTGTGTGAGATTCTTTTTTTAGTGTATGTACAAATTGTGTTTCCCAGTTAGTCAAATCTTTGGTTTGAATTTACTTTTACGACATTTTTAAAGCACAGTATCTTCTAGACCAATCCTGCCTTACCTTGAATATAGGTAAGACGAAAGGCATGTTCTTCTCCAAAACCAAACTAAACATCCTAGACGTAAGCATCTGCTTTAAAGGTGAACAGATTGAGACTGTTACTGAAATTAAATATCTTGGAGTGCTGCTTGATTCAAACCTGACCTTCAAAAAACACATAAAGAAAATGACAAAAATTATTTAATACAATTTGCCAAATTATAGACAGATTAGATCCTCTCTATCAATAGAGGCTGCTAAGATATTTTTACATGCCCTTATCTTCTCACATATCGCATATTGTATCACCTGCTGGGGGCAGGCTAGCCAAACAACAATTAGGCCCTTAGAATCCCTGTACAAACAGGGCCTGAAAATTCATGACAAAAAGCCACTCAGGCACCATCACTGTGACATACTACATAAGTAGGCTACAATCTACTAACTTTTGAAAATTTTTGAATATTCTCAAATTTATGCACAGTTTATAAAATCTTAAAAGGTCTGGCCCCCACCTGTTTGCGTGAGTTTGTCTGTTACCGTGGCTCTGTGAGGACCACTAGAATAGTTTCCGTATATAGCTGCACTGTACCCTTTCGCTATTCAGCATTAGGGCAGGCAGCCTTTTCTATCAAAGCTGTGATACAATGGAACACAATTACAGATAATATAAAAACTTGTGACTTGTTTGGGGCCTTTAAAGATAATATAAAAAAAAAACATTTAAAACTTTCACAACAATGCATCCACTAATTTGTCAGTGGGTAATATTCTTTTTTCTTTAGTCACATTTACCTCTTTATGGTAGGGTTGACATAAGGGTTGAGAAGGGGCTGTGTGTGGGCATACCATTGTATGTTGTGATTATAGGGTGTGTGTGTTTGCCAGTGGGGGGCATTAAGTACATGTTATATGCTCTTGAACAATGTTTGATGTTTTATGTTTGATATGCCGCATATTCTTGAATAATGTTGATATTTTAATTTGTGCTGTATGTATTTGTATTTATTTGTACCTGGGGACTGCAGATGCAAATTAGCCTAAGGCTAACTCTGGTGTAATGCATCAAATGTTTACATTTATGTTAATTTCACATGGTCCCTTTTAAATAAAAATCAATCAATCAATCAATTCTAGTATCACAATCTTCTATTTCACCAACCAATAACAATGAATCTGATCCAGATTTTCTCAAAATCTCTTCAAGCTCAAAACAATGCCATATATACACTTCAAACCTCCACCACATAACAGTTAGTCACAGTCCCAATAAAAAGCAGCAATTCTGCTGTGATTCATCCCTCTATTACAGCCTCCGTCCCAGCGGCCTTGAACACACAAGCTGCTAAAGAATCTTTCATAAAGGCTGAGAAATGACAAAATGTCACTCTAATAATGCACTGTAACCTTCCCCTGTGGGATAAAGAGCTGAACCAGCCGTAGCCTGCAGACACACACTCAAAACAGTTATCTGATGACAGGAGAATTATCTGAACACTAAACAATAAACAACAGCAGAAAGATCTCATACTGTGAGCTGTGGCTCATATTAACCCTGCAGGGAAATGATATTAAAGATTCATAAGGCTCTTAGTCTTAGGCGGCTGATGGAGGGACATTCACAGGGCGTTTGTGTGGCCCTCAGGCACTGGAGCCACAAATATATTACCAATCAGACTCTACAAGCCACCACCACATGACCTCTACACACACACACACACACATTTTTGTTATACAGTATACAGCAGTTCAGGTCTGTGATGTTGAAGGTTATCCCCCCAAAAAGTCCCTCAATAGGGAACATACACAGTCGATTTCTCTCAGGAGCACCAAAGTTCAACAGGCTAAAAGAAAAACACACACTGAAGTAAATGGTGTATTTAAATGACAACTAAATGAAAACGCAGCTTTCTAATAACTCTATCCTAAACCATCTGGGGAATCTGAGGGGTATTTCAACAAGAAAGGTCTTTCTCAAAGACAAACACAAAAAGGAATGTGTCCTTGAGACGTATTCACAGGATTCGCTCGTTTCCCTGGAAAA